TTTAGTAGAGACAGGGTTTCACCATGTTGACCAGGATGGTCTCGATCTCTTGACTTCGTGATCCACCCGCCTCGGCCTCCCAAAGTGCTGGGATTACAGGCGTGAGCCACTGCGCCCGGCTGCATGGTATTTTTTTGAGTTAACACATGTGAAGTACCTAGAACAGTCCCTTTTATTCCATCACATGGTTTGGGAGGTGAAGTGCACCATTGCCTTGACCCTGGGGGACTTGATAACCAAATATATAATTAAATTTCTTATCAAGCCCCATTTATATTTATAGCTGGAAGAGCCTGTGTTGTCTTCACCATAGTATAGAAGAATTCAAGATAGGAGAGAGAGACAGCAGCGAATGAAGACTGTAAAAGAAAAGAAGGAATGCCAAAGATTGAGGTAGAAACATAGGGAGTTTGGGAGAAATTGTCCAAAGGCCTGCGGTATCTGCTGCACTTTTTGCCGCCTTTGTCATAGTCTTGGGGACTGGGGTTGGACCATGTGGAAACATACATGAGTGGTCTCCTGGAAGCTGTCGTACCTGTCTTCTCAGTGCTGTCCCCAGTAGCAAAATGCTGACTCTAGAATCTTACTACCCAGATTCATATCTTGGCTCTGCCGCTTGCCAACAACTGTGACAAAAGCCACTTCATTTCTTTATGCCTCAGTTTCCTCATCTGGAAAATGTACATAATAATGACACACACGTTTTAGAGTATTCTGTAGATTTATTGAGCCAATACATGTAAAGTCCCAAGAATAGTGCCTCACAACGGAAAATGCTTTTATCAATTTTGGTTCATTTTAATATATGCTTTGTAAAGGTGGTACCACCTGAGATTCAGAGTAGTTGGCAGAGAAACAGTAAAAAAGTAAAAGCGGGTTTGCTCTTGCATTCATTCAATCAACATAGGCAGTACAGGCATTGGGAAAGAGAAAGATGCTTACACTCTGGTTCCTGCCCTTAAATAACTCAGTGAGTATGTTTTGCACTTTAAAAAGAAATATGAAGTATGGCCAGGTGCAGTGGTTCATGCCTGTAATTTCAACACTTTGGGAGGCCTAGGCGGGTGGATCACTTGAGGTCAGGAGTTTGAGACCAGCCTGGCCAACATGGTGAAACCCTGTCTCTACTAAAAATACAAAAAAAATAGCCAGGTCTGGTGGCAGGGGCACGTAGTTCCGGCTAGCAGGGAGGCTGAGGCAGGAGAATCGCTTGAGCCTAGGAAGCAGAGGTTGCAGTGAGCTGAGATCATGCCATTGCATTCCAGCCTGGGCAACAGAGCAAGACTCCATCTCAAAAAAATATATGTGTATATATGAAATATGAAAAGAAACTAATGGCTTAGGCTTTTGATATTTTGGTTCTTCACTAGACCCATGAATGGCATTTTAAGGGAAATGTTACAAAGGTTATAGATAAGGTCCCCAAAGAACACCTCATGCTTCTTGTTTCTCTTGTATAGAAAATCTGCCAAGACTAGGAGGGTAACCCAGAGGAAACCGTCTTCAGGGCCTGGTAAGAAAGACTGGAGCTTGTGTTCAGCCACGGCCTCCAGCCCTCAGCAAAGAAGGCCACCTGTGTGGGGCAGTACACTTGCTTCTCTCATTCTCAGCCCTACTTCCTTCCCAGATTCTCTAAGATCCTGAAGACTTAGGAACCATCATTTTAAATTACCACATCTGAAGTTCAAGAAACAAGTTATTAAAGTCACTTTAGACCAAAAAAAAAAAAAAAATTAAGTGAGCATTTGTGGCCAACTTGTTCAATGTAACCAGAATTATGTAAGCCTAATTAATACCAAATAAGACCTCATCCCAACCTTCCTCTTTGCAAAATTACCCTTTTCCTAGTATTCTGCTCCTTCCTGACTTAGAGGAGTGGTTACATTTTCACCCTTCTCCTCCATTCTTAATGATCAACTTAAGCCAAATTCTGAGTGTCCTCTCTTCCAGTTTGCTGGCTATGCCTTCAAGAACCTGGGGATCCCGAAAAATTAGGGGAATTTCTTCAGAAAGACAGTATCAGCGTGCATTATTTCTGTCTTGTGAGTATGAGACTACCTTTGCTTTGAATATCCTATGGCTTTTGATGTACTGACTGTTCTTTGTTTTTACATCCATCCTCAAATCCACAGCCTTTTTTTTTTCTTTTTCTTTTTTTTTTTTTTTTTTTTTTTTTTTTTTTTTTTT